TGTGTCTTATAAAGTAAAACAAATGATGGACTTATTGTCCGTAGACATGCAGACCAGTTAAAAATAACTTGTGCAGATAATAAGTGTGAATCTATCAATCCCACCAAATCTGATCAGTTCACACCAACTCAGTTTGTTCCACAACCAAGTTCTGTTGATATGAGTGAACCAAGTAGTCTGGAGTCAGAAAATGTAAATTCTGGAATTAATGATTTTGATCCTAGACCTCCTGAGATAGAGAATCCAGATGGTCAGAATCTTGAGTCACCAAATCAAAAGCCACTGAGAAGGTCAAGCAGGACAATCAAAGTCCCAAATAAGTTAAACCTATGATTTTAAAGGTCAAAAGGACTTTGACATCATTGTTTTGTATTTTAATTATGTTGTAACATATTGTGCATTGTTTGTAAGGATGTAATCTACCATAGTGTTCATGTTACAATATAATTGGTGATTTTAGGATACTGCAAATTGTTCTATTGAGAGATGTGTTGTGTTTACTAAGGGTAAAGGGATGTAATATAGTGAGACTTGTGAAGTCAAGGGAACTCACTCTTCTTGTATTAGTATTATATTTATACTGTTATCTTGAGTGATGTCCCTTACATATCTATATATATCTTTGTCTCTCGTCACTTCCGCCCTCTCTCGTTATCATCATGTAGTTGAAGGCCAATAAACGTTTTATATACAACCACATGCTTCTATCGTCAATCCATTACAAACACAAAAAGTGACATTCACCTTTTTGTAATAAAATAATAATTAAATAACTCTCCCAGCCCCTTACATTAAGTGTTTTTATATTTTTTTAAAATAATAATTAAGAGTAGTAATTAGTTTTTAATTTATTTAATACAAATATATTAAAAGGAGCTTATGAGCACCTCTATTTACCATTTTAAAAAGGGAAATAAGTCATGGAAGTGTTTTGAAGGTTTGCCCATCTTTCACACTACAGCTCAGGCATATATATTTTTTACGCAACAGCATGTGTTAGCTACTGTATAACATCACTACTGTAGTAGCGCTGTTTGTTATTTACAAAAGCTTTTACCGTCAAGTCGAATATGCAAGAAAATTATGTTTTTTAACTATAAAAAAAATATTATGATCGGCTATGGGGGTCTGGCGGCACTGTAGTTCGGCCCCTGGTTCTGTTACAGCATAAATTGCTGTCGGCCTATTTTTGTTGGGTTTTATTTGGATTGCCTAATTATTTTGGTTTATTTTACTTCGAGTTAAGTTTTACATTTTAGTTAATTCTTGTGTAGGTTTACTTAACTTTAGTTGTGGAATAAAGTACCTCATAGTTATCCGACTTGACTTTATCTTTTCTTAGCCTAGTTTAGTTTGGTTTGTTTAGGTTTAACAAACCCCTCTGACGACAAAGGTGCACGGATGAGTTAATGAGATCACCTCTCGGTTCTCCCCTTATACATATATATATATATATATATATATATATATATATATATATATATATATATATATATATATATATATATATATATATATATATATATATATATATATATATATATATATATATATATATATATATATATATATATATAATTTAAATAAATAGCTTTAAATATTTATTCATCTATCTATCTATATACTACTAAAAGTCAAGTTTGTTTACATGTTTGAATATTTTTGTTTGTTTGTTTGTCCGATCGAGTATTGTGATATGTTCTACTCTATCTGGAGAGCTGTAAAATAGTATGTAGGTAGAGAATAATTTTTTAATGCAGACAGACTGTTAATCACAAATTTATTTAAAGACGTTAATTAATTTATTGATTTATTCATAGGTAGATTAACCCATTTTTTTAAAATGTTAAAACATTGACTAAACTTTGTGGGAATAGTGACGTCCCTTGATGTGTTTACTTTTTGGTACAATAAAAATGGCGGACTCCATCATAGACTTTGTGGCCCATTCAAAAGTTTAACGCGTTACAAAGCTAATTTTCTGCCGGCTATAACTTAAACAATACGTCCGTTTGCTGTATTCATTACGTTCCAACACTTATATCAATTTTAAACTGTCTTTTTTCATTTAGTTTTACAATAAATTTCTCTAGATCTAAAGATCAGCTGTCGAAGGAAAGTTATGAATCTAGAATCTAGCCTAGGGCCTAGATTCTAGATCTAGATCTAGATCTAGGTCACTAGACTCAATGTAAATTCTAGATCTAGACTTAATGTAAATTCTACATCTAGAATCTATTTCGGGCCTTAATTATTTTATATAAATCTTTGTTTAGCTTCAATGATCATCTAATTCGAGAATACATGGGATTTTTTTGTTATCTAGGTTCTATATCTAGATATAGTAGGATTACTCACTAACTTGGAGGCGTGGTCGGCTGCTAACAACAATATGGCGTACGGACCGGACGCATGACTTCCGACCATTTTTAGGCCATGTTTACCACGAGCAAAATGGCGGGTGTTCACATTATTTAAACATGGTATAGGTGGCCAGGGCTAGATATGCCAGAAAAGCATTTTAAAATAATTTGCTTTGGAGAATGAAGGCTAAATTTTAAAGTCAGTGTCATAAACATTAATAGAACTTTTTTTTTTTTTTTACGTTTTCAATTATTTTTTCTTAAGCCCTATATGTGAATGATAAGGTTGACTATCAGGACCTCGCGAGGCACAGGGCAGGTGAAGTAGGGTTCATCTGTTTCTTTGTCCTAAGCAAATGAAGGGATAGTGTGGTCAGAGACATGCTCGGCTGGAATCGTTTTTGTTGTCTGAGACTTGGCGGGACACTGGGCAGGTGAAGTAGAGTTGAGTAGGTCACCTGTGACGTCAGTATATGAAGGGATAGTCCGAAATCGGTGTTTTCGGTGTTTTTAAAAGATAAATAACATATTTTTGAATGTGGGGTCTGTTTTTTGTGACGATAAGTGACACTGCAGTAGCGTAGCGAGGAGGGGGGGGGCGGGAGGGGGAGGGAGGGCGGGGGGGGGGGGGGAGGGGGAGGCGGGGGAAGGTGGAGGGGGGAAGGGGGGGGGACATATGTTTGGGCGCCAAAATGGTTTGGAAAAATATTGAAAGGTTGAGGGGGGGGGGTTCAAATCGAAAGTTTGAGTGGGGGGGGGGGGGGGTGCACATCAAAAGTTTGAGGGGGGGGGGGGTTGCAAATCGAAATCTAGCGGGGGGGGGGGGGGGTTCAAATCGAAAAGTTTGTCCCCGGGCGCCGGGAAGGGTCGCTATGCCTCTGAGTGACAGACGTGATGTTTTTTGATGGATGACCCCCGAAACCCACAGTTATCCAACGGATGACGGGTATTCTAGTAATTTTTAAAAATACGCATGTTTTGCACAAAACATATTAAAGTATTTGAGCTAGCTCTGCTAGAATAATAAAATTAGTAATCAAATAATATAACTATAATCATTGAATATTTACATTAGTTACACCAATGGGAGTGTTGACCTTGCATGCCGTTTGAAAGTTTGTTTAAATCTGGCTCATAACTTCTTGTTTTAGGATGTTTCAAGCACGCCTGTAGATTTTTATTTGTTAGTTGGCTTCTTACTTAACTTTTTATTATATGCATGTAAAAGAACTCTTGCTAGCACGAATATGTTGACCTAAAGATCTTCAACACTCCAGATGTCAACTTCTCCACGTTAATGTACCATCCTGCAAATCTATTCCATGCGTCACGTATCAGTGCCTCAACTCGCGATATTTATTTTACAGCTGTCCAGTTGTGCAGCATAACGTGCATGTTTTACTGGACCTCTAACTATTTTTACTTGCACTTGAGTTCTGTGAATTTTCCGCTCCACAAATGAGTCGTTTTCAAATCCAGCAATTGCATTTTTAAAGCGAACCAGCATCAATTCCAAATAGCTCAAAGTTAATCTCATTTGTTTTTGTGTTGAGAGAGTCTACTATGAACGTCAGAGTACTTGCATTTGTTTTGAATTACTCAAATCTCTCAGTGAATCCATCTTTCGTTTTGTTTGGTGTAATGCTGAAGCAATTCATGCTAATAGATTTTTCGAAATCAAGTAATTTACCGCTCTCCATGTCTTCAACAAAAAAAAGTAATTTTTTTCGAAACATACTCTTCTCAAGCAAGGCATAGAGTGAGTTTTCCTTTCCTCGCAGTTTTACATTTAGCTCGTTTATTTTCTTTGTGATATCGACCATGAAGTTGAATATTTCAATTCGGGATGAACAGCTTAATATGAAGTACATTGAAAAAAGGTTGTACCTAAATATTTTAATAGAATAGCGAGTGGTTAATGTTTATGTTTATGATTATATAATTCATTATCGAGTGTTGCAGAACAATATTTGTATGAGTTTTGAAAATAAAATAAAATAATTATTAATATTTGTGCTTGGAGCCGAAGAGCTGCAACTTGTCATCAAAAGAGCCGCATGCGGCTTGCGGGCCGCAGGTTGCCGACCCCTGATCTACACCAAAACATACCCCATCCATACGCTTTATCATAAAATACACTCCACGATCCACATTTTAATGTCTCACATAGGTCAAGGTACATGGATAGGAAAATTGGATAGGGATCGGGAAATTGATATGGATAGGGATAAGGAAAGGGATGTGTTATGGATAACTATATTGATGGGGATAAAGTTATGCTATGTTTCTAACGATCACTTTATCGATTACGTTTACTGTTGTTGTGGTTAGTGTTATGTTTATTTTCTCATAATATATTGACATTGGTTAAATACTTTATTTTTCTCCAAACCCCGGGAAGCGATTGCGATTGCCTAATTTTCTTCACCCCCGTATTATAAATTAGAAGGTAACATTAATGGCTGCTTACTATATTCATTACACCTGAACTTTTCAGTTGTTCAATGTCCTTGACTACATGGGTGTTTCTCCAAAACCCGTATCTTTCGTTCCGATAACGCGTATACTAAATGTAGAGATAACACGATACGGTTTTAAAACCTGTATCAATAAAACCACGAATTTATGTCGGCTGACTACCAAGATAAAATTGAACTGTAGTTAATCACACACTGTGCTGCTGTCCGCTGGCGATTTTAGTTAACTGTCCCTAGTTTTTTATTCTGAAATATGTTGGTTTTCTTCATTTTGTTAATGCTTTTCCGATATGTTTTGCCTAATGATTTTGTGATAAAATTTAAGGAGAAAATGTATCCGTTTCAAAACACGAGTTTACCATGGGACGAAAGGGTTGATGACTTGGTGGCAAGGTTGACACTACAAGAAATACAACTGCAACTGGCCAGAGGAGGAACTGGGGACTATGGAGGCCCAGCGCCTGCAATCCCTCGACTTGGTAACACCCTTGCTTCTTTTGATATCATTTCCTAACAAGAAACATGCTAATATAATAGTGACATTATTAGCGCAGTGATGTGATATCTAATAATAGTTAGGAATCTATAATAATAGTTTCGCTGTCTGTCTATCTATCTATCTGTCTGACAAGAACGCTGTAGAGAAAACACAAGGAAATTAAAAACATGCATAGTAATTCGAAAAAACGAAGTATGACGCGGTCACATTTAGCATAGAGTAGAAAATAATCTCTAGCCGGAGAGTGCACACAGTAATATGACGTCATTGATTATCGAGTAAACATTGAATAAAAAGGAAATTTTGTCTAATCTAAATGGTTTACGTGAAGAGTTTCTTTCATACAATTCTTCGGGTAGGGGCGAAGCCCCACCCCCGCGTAAGAACGTCTGAACCCCCCCCCCCCCCCGCCCCAACTCAAAAGAAATGTCGTAATCGATACTCTATAATAAAATTACCGCCTAATTAATGTGTCTAATCTAAAAAGTGGTTTTCTTGCAATTTTTTTAATGCAATTCTTCGGGTAGTGGCTAAGCGCGACACCAGTGTTTCTTTCAGACTTTTTCCTCCCCGGAGAGGGGTGGGGGTAATTGAAATTTTCGGGGGCGGGGGTAGAATTTTCGGGGGAGGGGGGCGGACACTGGAAAAAGTATATAATTATATTTCGTTGAATGGGACGGTAGACATGTGTTTTTTTTTGGGGGGTGGGGGGGTGGGGTGGGGGGGGGGGGGGTGGTGTGTGTGTGTGGGGGGGGGGGGCTGGGGGGGTGGGGGTGTGTGTGTGTGGGGGGGGGGTTAGTTTAGAGAAAAGAGACAGCACTATCAGCCTAGCGCCCGTTGTATCCTTCCTCAACGGGCCATTTTTCTCGTATATTATGTTATCAGACGCTTAAATAAGCAGTAGAGAGCGATTTTTTTTTTGCTTTGAGTTGCGAGCAAAATTTCCGCTACAAGTAATCGTATCCGCGGTTACAGTTTATGGCAAATCACACATGAAAAAGTTGCAACTGATCGTGGGTTGCAGCTATTTTTGACTTTATGACTTTGTCTAATTTCCGCAACAATCCGAAAGGGAGGAAGAAACAAACCACATAAGCAGATTATTGTTTAAACAGCCTTCACAATCTAAACAAGTAAAGTGTGCAAAAAGGCAAAGACTAATGAAGAGAACTGAAACAGTACTGAAACAGTACTGAAGTTAAAGTGTTCACACATAAATAGAGCAAAATATCACCCGGTTACCTGAAATCTTTCAAACGCTGAGACAGTAGCGTCGCTAGGTCGGGTGTCACTCGGTGCGGCACCTAATGGTGTCACCCCCAGCCGAAAAATTATATGTATATATATATATATATATATATATATATATATATATATATATATATATATATATATATATATATATATATATATATATATTATATATATATATATATATATATATATATATATATATATATATATATATATATATATATATATGTATATGTATATAATATATATATAATATATAATATATATTATATATCATATAACACATACATAAGCATACATACACATATATACACAAACATACATATACATAAATATATATATATATATATATATATATATATATATATATATATATATATATATATATATATATATATATATATATATATATATATATATATACATACACATACATACACAAACATACACACATACATTTATACATATATATATATATATATATATATATGTATATGTATATAAATATATATATAATATATAATATATATTATATATCATATAACACATACATAAGCATACATACACATATATACACAAACATACATATACATAAATATATATATATATATATATATATATATATATATATATATATATATATATATATATATATATATATATATATATATATATATATATATATATATATACATACACATACATACACAAACATACACACATACATTTATACATATATATATATATATATATATATATATATATATATATATATATATATATATATATATATATATATATATATATATATATATATATATATATACATAAGTGTCATATACACTTGTAAATATGTGTATACGCATGTGTATATTATGTATTTAAATATATCTTTTTTATGTATTTAAATGTTTTTGAAGCTACGCATTTTTTTTTTTGGGCTGAACTTCGTCTTCTTTTTTTTTTATGTATAGGAAAATGAGTAACAGCGACAAATAGTTTTTTTACAACGCTTGTATACGCTAGAAGCTCTTTACCTCTAATGGGTATATTAAATTTGTAATTAAATTATCATACTTTTACATATTCCATTACATAATATACACAATTTCAAGATTTAATTGATTTAAAAAGTGAATTAGTTGTTTCAAAACATTTGGCAACTCTTTCCATGGCTGACAAAACCGTCAAAATGTGCCAATGTTGCAAGTCAACCAGTTCCATTTATCCGTTTCTCGCTTTTTATGTAGACTTGTCGAGTGGCGTCAACTTATATTAATCCACCTAGAACAGGGGTCTCCAAACTTTTCAGACCGAGGGCCACATTAACTATCAAATTTCCGTTTGGGGGCCAGTTTCTTCCAGGCATGTCGTGATTTTTCTGGGCAAAGTTCCTCAATCATCACCAACAAACGATTTTTCCTTAGACAAAAAGATCTCCGCGGACCGGATGAGAGGACTTCGCGGGCCGCATCCGGCCGCGGGCCGTAGTTTGGAGACCCCTGACCTAGAATAAGCATTGAGGGTCCGAATTCTAACAGTTATTAAATTCAAGTGGAAAAATCATTGCTTTTGTAGAAGTTATTAAATTTGGTGTCACCTTCCCATCCCAGAATTCGATTGACATAATAAATCAGCAAAGACATAGTTACCCTTCTCGGCGCCCGGTGACAAACTTTCAAACAGGCGACCCCCTCCCCCTTATATTTTTTTATATTTATAATGCAAAAACTGCAGCCAAAATGATAATTTAATTTATTTATTTTTCCAAGCCATTTTTGCGCCCCCTAGGGTCGGCGCCCATGGACATATGTACCCCCCTCGCTACGCCTCTGCATATCTTTAAACTGCACATATAAAACTAACAATGTAGTAGGTTATTAATACGGCTGGTTGTGGCATTGTTTTCTATATCGTTAGCAGGTTTACGTCCTGATGTCAATCGCCCCCCCCCCCCCACATTCTCCTCTTGTCGGGATTTGTCAACTAATGGCTCTTAGAAGACTATTTAACTCTAATTAATTGCAACACTGCCACAGTGGGGATGATGTCACCTACTGAGGTGTAGTCCAGTGTTTCTTCCAGACTTTTTTCTCCGCGGGGGTGGGGGGGGGGGGCACTTGAAATTTTCGGGGGGTCGGTAGACTTTCTTCGGGGGGGGGGGGGGGGCACTGTTAAAAGTATATATCTTCTATATAAATTATATAATTTTCATTTCGTTCGGGGGGGGGGGGGGGGGGCGGTAAAAAATTTCCGGGGGGGGGGGGGGGTCAAATTTTTCGGGGTGGGGGGAACACTAGTAAAATTGTATGTTTACTATATAAAATCCATCTCGTTCGGGGCGGGGGGGGGGGGGGGGCGGTAGAAGAAACTGGGTGTAGTGGTTTGTTGTTATATCCTGGCTTTATTGTAAATCCGTATACGGCTAGTTCTTGAACATGAAAGGCATACACGGCATATAGCCCTAAAACAAATGTAAACAACAATCTTACATCTCTGAAATACACTACCACGTGTAGGCTAACATAAAAACACGGGTTTATATAATAATAATAATTATGATTATTATATTACCCTTATAAGTTAAATAACTTTTAACCATTGCACCTAAAGAACGAAATTGACTGGACAGGATATTTGTTAGTATAAAAGTCAGTTCTGACTTGTCTAGCGATAATATATAACGTTTTACATTTTAATGTTATGACTACAGAGCATCAAATACCTAAATTGGACCAGTGATAAAAGATGATAGATTTAACGCGACAACAACGTACTGAAAAATACTTCTTTCCCCAGTGCAGACGAAGACAAAGTGGCTGCTATTCCGATATGTGACAGACTTAAAGTCACATTCAGGGCGACGCTTTCGCGGCTTATATTATAGAAACTATTACTTTGGAAATAAAATTCTGTTTCTTTTATAAAAGTTAACACCGTTTTTATACTTAAACGTATGATACCGTTAGTGTAACAACCTAAAAGGGGTAGGCCTACATAATTTCAATAATTCAAGTTCCAGACGAACAAAGACAATTATTTTTTAAGTTATTTTCCAGGAAAAACTAACTTTCTCCCTTACCCGACAATAAACAGCAATCCAAATACAGTAACCAAATAACGGTTTTGATTACTTTAATTAAATTCTTATTAGAGCGTAAGTGAAACGAAAAGTTTGAAAGAAGTAGTTATACTGAAATGGATCCGATTTGACCACAAATAAAACAAGAAAACACTGTGAACTAATTAAAGGCTTGTAGACAGTGTTTCTTCCAGACTTTTTTCTCCGGGGGGGCACTTGAAATCTTCGGGGGGGCGGTAAACTTTCTTCGGGGGGCGGACACTGTTAAAAGTATATATTTTCTATATAAATTATATAAATTTCATTTCGTTCGGGGGGCGGTAAAAAATTTTCGGGGGGGCTTCGCCCCCCCGAAGAGATGCCTGGAAGAAACTCTGCTTGTAGAAACTAGAAAGATCTTTTAGAATTTTCAAAATAATTACAGGAATAGGGCCTTATGCATGGAATACAGAATGCTTACGTGGTGATGTTGATGCAGCTGGAAATGCAACAGCTTTTGCTCAGGCTATAGGACTGGCAGCCACATTTAGGTAAACCAACTTCTGTAACACCCGTCTAACCTACCTAATTTTACGATGCAGTTTTTAAAACAAAAGCTTTCATATAATTATATAGCCGTTCATTTTATATGTGGAAAGTAGGATTTGTATAGCCAGTTGCGGAGCTATAAAAAATATGCCCTTTCACATCTAAAAAAAATTCATAAAAAACGTTTTAATAACAAGCTTTTATGTAATGATGCACTAAAAAATAGAAAATAAATTATACACTACTATTTAAATTACTATAAAGAAAAGCGTGGGTCTCTTCTCAAATATTAGTAAAGGTATCCAATAGGTACTAAAGTGACCCACGCTTTTCTTTATAGTAATTTAAATAGTAATGTATAATTTATTTTCTACTTTTTAGTGCATCTATATATATAAAGCAAAGTGGTCAAGTGCCCGATAGGGCACTTCCCGGCGCCGCAGGCGCGTCAAATTTGGGACGAAGGTGCCTTAGTGCGATAGAACACGAGGGCCGGTGACGGTTCGGCTAAAAGTCTACGGAGAGGGGGTCAAAACTGACCTCGACTGACCGGCGCCTGATATGGGCTATATTACGAAAAAAAATTTCCTCCGACGACCCCCCTTAAAATTTTGTGAGGTGGTAGGAGAACGCCTTGGGGTGTCACAAAAAACTCGGCATATCTGGGAAAACTTCGTAAAGGGGTCAAAACTGACCAGTTGTATTTCCCTATATAATCTTTGTATTTTATGGGAAAAACAGAGGGTCATTTCAACGCAGACTTTAGGGTACTTAAACTCAGTATATCTGGCTAATTTTTTACATTCTATTAGGTAAATGGCTTGACCTTTAGGGAAAACTGTCGGTTTGACTCAAAGCCCTCGACGAGGGCTAAAAAGTGACCGCGAGTGAAATTCTCTTAATATGAGCTCTATTACGAAAAAACAATTCCTCCGACGACCCCCCTTGAAATTTTGTGAGGTGGTAGGAGAACGCCTTGGAGTGTCACAAAAAACTCGGCATATCTGGGAAAACTTCGTAAAGGGGTAAAAACTGACCAGTTGTATTTCCCTATATAATCTTTGTATTTTATGGGGAAAACACAGGGTCATATGAACGCGGACTTTAGGGTACTTAAACTCAGTATATTTGGCTAATTGTTTGCATACTCTTAGGTAAATGGCTTGACCTTTAGGGAAAACTGTCGGTTTGACTCAAAGCCCTCGACGAGGGCTAAAAAGTGACCGCGAGTGAAATTCTCTTTATATGAGCTCTATTACGAAAAATTTTTTCCTCCGACGACCCCCTTTGAAATTTTGTGAGGTGGTAGGAGAACGCCTTGGGGTGTCACAAAAAACTCGGCATATCTCGGAAAACTTCGTAAAGGGGTCAAAACTGACCAGTCGTATTTCCCTATATAATCTTTGTATTTTATGGGAAAAACAGGGTAATTTAAACACAATTTTTACGTTACTTAACCTCTGTACATCATGCTAATGTTTTGCATAAACTTCTATAGATGACTAGGCCGTATGGAAAAACTGTTGGTCAGGCTCAAAGCCCTCGACCAGTGCTAAAAGATGACCGCGAGTGAAATTCTCCTTATATGAGATATATATAAATAAATTGACGATCGATCCCCTTAATATTATTTGAGGTCGTAGACCGACCCTGGAGGGTAACAAAAAAACTTTATTCCCGTCGGAAAAAGCCATTGTAGTCGTTAAATATGTTTATATATCGTATTTTCTTATATAAGCAAAGTAACTGTTTGTTTAAAAAAAAGTAAACACAGACATACGTCATTCGGTTAATTCTCAAGGGAGGTAACCTTTTTAAATAATTATTTTTTTAAATAATTGTATACTATTTTAAACAGAAACAGAAAACGACAAAGTATAGCATTTGTTTTAGAAAAAAATAAGTTGTTAATTAAGCTAAGTATCATAATTAAATAAAACATTAATTTTAAAAGTCAATGTAATATAAATTATGAGATATACTGTTCATGGAACGTCTGTAGTTCTATTTCCATTTTAGTAATAAATTGCGTACTTTCAAATACTTTTTCTAAAAGCGGATGTTAAAGAACATACAACATCTTCTCTAAAATTAGCATTACTGTTTACATTTAAGCACTCCACGCCTCATCCATCACCACATAATTAGTTTTCAAATTATCAAATGTTTTTGAAAACCTAAGCGAAGCTAGGCAGTATGCCTAGTCATTACATAAAAGCTTGTTATTAAAACGTTTTTTTGTGAATTTTTTTTCAGTACTTTACATGTTTTATTTACAATAGTGTTACATGACTAAAAACCATTGCGCGCCTACTGAACGTGATGGCGCAGCTATTAAACCTGATGGCGCAGCTATTGAAAGTGATGACGCGTGTGGTGTGGTTGGATTGACATGCCTACTGATTCGGTCCAAATTTTAATTAATTCATAAAAAATTAATAAGGCATCCAATTAAGTCAAATTTAGTTTCAGATTGCATTGTCTTCATGTCTTGACCCACATGCCAACTGTGAATCGTATCGGTCAAGTAGAACTGTCCGAATTTTCACTCCTACGTTTCTATCTAGACTGACGACAGACTGTCGACTGACGACAGAGGAAGTGAGTTAAATAAAAGCTAGTAAAAAAAATTCATAAAAAAATTCATAAAAAACGTTTTAATAACAAGCTTTTATGTAATGATGCACTAAAAAGTAGAAAATAAATTATAGACTACTATTTAAATAACTATAAAGAAAAGCGTGGGTCACTTTAGTATCTATTGGATACCTTTACTAATGTTAAGGAAGACACCCACGCTTTTCTTTATAGTTATTTAAATAGTAGTCTATAATTTATTTTCTACTTTTTAGTGCATCATTACATAAAAGCTTGTTATTAAAACGTTTTTTATGAATTTTTTTTTCAGTACTTTACATGTTTTATTTACAATAGAGTTACATGACTAAAAACCATTGCTCGCCTACTGAACATCACGTTCAGTAGGCGCGCAATGGTTTTTGAACGCAGCCATTACGTGGTCGTGATGGCGCAGCTATTGATGACGCGTGTGGTGTGGTTGGCTAGACATGCCTACTAATTCGGTCCAAATTTTAATTAATTCATAAAAAATCAATTAGGCATCCAATTAAGTCAAATTTAGTTTCAGATTGCATTGTCTTCATGTCTTGACCCACGTGCCAACTGTGAATCGTGTCGGTCAAGTAGAACTGTCCGAATTTTCACTCCTGCGTTTCTATCTAGACAGACTGTCGACAGACTGACGACAGAGGAAGTGAGTTAAATAAAAGCTTGTAAAAACGTTTTAATAACAAGCTTTTATGTAACGATGCACTAAAAAGTAGAAAATAAATTATACACTACTATTTAAATTACTATAAAGAAAATCGTGGGTCACTTTAGTACTTTAGTACCTATTGGATACCTTTACTAATATTTGAGAAGAGACCCACGCTTTTCTTTATAGTAATTTAAATAGTAGTGTATAATTTATTTTCTACTTTTTAGTGCATCATTACATAAAAGCTTGTTATTAAAACGTTTTTTATGAATTTTTTTTTCAGTACTTTACATGTTTTATTTGCAATAGTGTTACAAGACTAAAAACCATTGCGCGTCTATTGAACGTGATAGCGCAGCTATTAAACCTGATTGAACGTGATGACGTATGTGGTGTGGTTGGATAGACATGCCTACTAATTGGGTCCAAATTTTAATTAATTCATAAAAAATTAATTAGGCATCCAATTAAGTCAAATTTAGATTCAGATTGCATTGTCTTCATGTCTTGACCCACGTGCCAACTGTGAATCGTATCGGTCAAGTAGAACTGTCCGAATTTTCACTCCTGCGTTTCCATCTAGACTGACGACAGAGGAAGTGAGTTAAATAAAAGCTTGTAAAAAAATTCATAAAAAATTCATAAAAAAAACGTTTTAATAACAAGCTTTTATGTAATGATGCACTAAAAAGTAGAAAATAAATTATAGACTACTATTTAAATAACTATAAAGAAAAGCGTGGGTCACTTTAGTATCTATTGGATACCTTTACTAATGTTAAGGAAGACACCCACGCTTTTCTTTATAGTTATTTAAATAGTAGTCTATAATTTATTTTCTACTTTTTAGTGCATCATTACATAAAAGCTTGTTATTAAAACGTTTTTTATGAATTTTTTTTCAGTACTTTACATGTTTTATTTACAATAGAGTTACATGACTAAAAACCATTGCACGCCTACTGAACGTGATGGCGCAGCTATTGAACGTACAGTGATGGCGCAGCTATTGAACGTGATGACGCGTGTGGTGTGGTTGGACAGACATGCCTACTAATTCGGTCCAAATTTTAATTAATTCATAAAAAATTAATTAGGCATCCAATTAAGTCAAATTTAGTTTCAGATTGCATTGTCTTCATGTCTTGACCCACGTGCCAAGTGTGAATCGTATCGGTCAAGTAGAAGTTTCCGAATTTTCACTCCTGCGTTTCTATCTAGACAGACAGACTGTGGACTGACGACAAAGGAAGTGAGTTAAATAAAAGCTTGTAAAAAACCTCACGTTTTTATTCCCGGATGACCAAGTGAAGTGATTATTATTTCGTTGTTGTTTGTGTGTGTGTGCACAGATGTGTGACGTTCTTTGTTAGGTTTTGTGTTTTGTACAGCCCCTTCTCGCAGAGCCCAAATGCGACAGAAGTGTGTAACCACCTGTCTGCTGGTATTTGTCCACGACTTAGGAATTCAGGTGCTAGGCCGTGGACACCTCATCTGGCACAGACATATCCAATTCATCTAAAGAATCACACTTTGGCAGCAGGTTCGAGATTGCAATACTTTATTTCTTGATAAATAATCACCGCCCGCTCCCCCCCCCCCCCCCGAAGAAAGTCTACCGCCCCCCCCCCCTAACGAGTTGGACATACACTTTTACTAGTGTCCGCCCCCCCCCCCCCCCGAAAATCTCAAGTGCCTCCCCCCCCCTAAAATGACCTCCCC